GAGAAGACAGACAGGAGATCCCAGACCCAGGAAGAAGATCAAATACAGCCTCCCTCACAACTTCCTATAGAAGCCTCCCAACCAGGTCAACCCCAGTGCAACCAAACACTCTAAATCAAAACACCCATGCCACATCCAATGCCCCCACCCACTACATTACAAACTCCACCCCCACAGCAACAACCCATAGCTCCTTACCAGGTCTCCCACTTCCCCAACCCCAATATACCTCCCAGACTACAGTCTTAGAAAAGAAGTTGAAGGTGTGGTATACAAATGCAGATGGAATAACAAACAAGTATGAGGAGTGGCACAAAAGAATCAAGGAGACATCCCCAGGCATAATAGCACTCACAGAAACAAAACTCACCAGAATAATAACAGATTCAATCTTTCCATCCGGATATCAAATCCTCAGGAAAGACAGAGGGAGGAGAGGGGGAGGAGGAGTTGCACTGCTCATTAAAAACCAGTGGGGTTTTGAGAACATGGAAGGAATGGATGGTACGGGCGAAAGGGACTACTTAGTAGGAACAATCCAGTCTGAGGGACATAAGGTGATAATTGCAGTAATGTACAACCCACCACAGAACTGCAGGAGGCCAAGAGAAGAATACGATGAGAGCAACAGAGCAATGATCGACACACTAGCCGAGGTGGCCAGGAGAGCACACATGGGGGGAGCAAAGTTACTAGTTATGGGTGATTTCAATCACAAGGAGATTGACTGGGAAAACCTGGAGCCCCATGGGGGTCCCGAAACATGGAGAGCCAAGATGATGGATGTGGTACTGGGAAACCTCATGCATCAACATGTTAGACACACTACCAGAGAGAGAGAGGAAAGGATGAACCAGCAAGGCTGGACCTTGTATATACCTTGAGTAGTTCGGACATCGAGGGTTTCATGTATGAAAGGCCCCTGGGAGCTAGTGATCATGTGGTTCTGTGCTTCGACTACATAGTTGAGCTCCAAGTGGAGAGAGTAGCAGGAATAGGCTGGGAAAAACCAAACTACAAAAGGGGGAACTACTCAGGCATGAGGAACTTCCTTCAAGACATTCAGTGGGAGAGGGAACTGACAGGAAAACCAGTACAAGAAATGGACTATGTGGCAACAAAATGCAAGGAGGCAGAGGAGAGGTTTGTTCCCAAGGGAAACAGAAATAATGGGAAGAACAGAACGAGTCCTTGGTTCACCCAAAGGTGTAGGGAGGCAAAAACTAGGTGTACTAGAGAATGGAAAAGGTACAGAAGAGAGAACTCAGGAAAATAAAGAAATCAGCCGAAGAGCCAGAAACAAATATGCACAGATAAGAAGGGAGGCTCAGAGACAATATGAAAATGACATAGCATCAAAAGTAAAGACTGACCCGAAGCTGTTGTACAGCCACATCAGGAGGAAAACAACAGTCAAGGACCAGGTAATCAGACTGAGGAAGGGTGATGGGGAATTCACAAGAAATGACCAAGAGATATGTCAGGAGCTCAACACAAGATTTAAAGAGGTATTTACAGTGGAAACCAGTAGGACTCCAGGAAATCAGAACAGGGGGGCACAGCTGCTATGCGAACTTGACACCTCAAAGGCGGTGGGACCAGACAACATCTCTCCATGGGTCCTTAAAGAGGGAGCAGAGACACTGTGTGAGCCATTAACAAAGATCTTCAACACATCATTTGAAACTGGACAACTCCCTGAGGTACAGAAAATGGCAAATGTAGTCCCATTTTTAAAAAGGGAGACAGACATGAGGCACTAAACTACAGACCTGTATCACTAACGTGTATAGTATGCAAGGTCATGGAGAAGATCATCAGGAGGAGAGTGGTGAGGCACCTGGAAAGAAAACAAGTGTATAATTGACAACCAGCACGGTTTCAGGGAAGGAAAATCCTGTGTCACAAACCTACTAGAGTTTTATGACAAGGTGACAGAAGTAAGACAAGAGAGAGAGGGGTGGATCGACTACATATTTTTGGACTGCAAGAAGGCCTTCAACACAGTTCCTCACAAGAGGTTACTGCAAAAGCTAGAGGATCAGGCACACATAAAAGGAAAGGCACTGCAATGGATCAGAGAATATCTGACAGGGAGGCAACAACAGTCATGGTACGCGACGAGGTGTCAGAGTGGGCACCTGTGACAAGCGGGGTTCCACAGGGGTCAGTCCTAGGACCTGTGCTGTTCTTGGTATATGTGAACGACATAACGGAAGGGATAGACTCAGAAGTGTCCTTGTTTGCAGATGATGCGAAGTTAATGAAAGAATCAATCGGATGAGGATCAGGCAGGACTACAAAGAGACCTGGACAGGCTACAAGCCTGGTCCAGCAATTGGCTCCTTGAATTTAACCCTGCCAAATGCAAAGTCATGAAGATTGGGGAAGGGCAAAGAAGACCGCAGACACAATATAGTTTAGATGGCCAAAGACTGCAAACCTCACTCAAGGAAAAAGATCTGGGGGTGAGTATAACACCGAGCATATCTCCTGAGGCGCACATCAATCAGATAACTGCTGCAGCATACGGGCGCCTGGCAAACCTACGGATAGCGCTCAGATACCTCAGTAAGGATTCATTTAAGACTCTGTATACCATTTACGTCAGGCCCATACTGGAGTATGCAGCACCAGTTTGGAATCCACAACTAGTCAAGCACGTCAAGAAATTAGAGAAAGTGCAAAGGTTTTCAACAAGACTAGTCCCAAGCTAGGGGATTGTCCTAACGAAGAAAGGTTGAGGGAAATCGGCCTGACGACACTGGAGGACAGGAGAGACATGATAACGACATATAAAATACTGCGCAGAATAGACAAAGTGGACAAAGACGGGATGTTCCAGAGAAGGGACACAGACACAAGAGGTCACAATTGAAAGTTGAAGACTCAGATGAATCAAAGGGATGTTAGGAAGTATTTCTTCAGTCATAGAGTAGTCAGGCCGTGGAATAGCCTAGAAAGTGACGTAGTGGAGGCGGGAACCATACATAGTTTTAAGGCGAGGTATGATAGAGCTCATGGGGCCGGGAGAGAGAGGACCTAGTAGCAATCAGCGAAGAGGTGGGGCCAGGAGCTGTGAATCGACCCCTGCAACCACAAATAGGCGAGTACAAATAGGCGAGTACACACACACACACAAAATGGAATTTTTATGAGGATATCAAGATATCTCCAGCATCCCAAAGCCAGGGTAAGAGAAATTATATATAAGAGACAGAGAAAAGAAAGGGGGGGGGGGGGGTGAGAAAAATATGGATGACAATATGGTATATGTACAGTAACTACATACATGCTTTAATGTACAACAATGTAGTCATATATGTATACATATATTAAGTGTACAACAATGCAGTCATTATATGTCTACGAATATATAATTGAACCTCGTGAAAAGCTTTCTTTAAAATATCAACATTGTATACATCAGGGAGTGCTGACAGAATTTTGGGGGACTTCAGTGCCCCTTGGTGCTGCCACTGCCAGAGGAAAATGTAGCAGAGACCAACTTACCTCTAGGCTAGCTAGCATCCAGTTGCTGTTGTGTCCCAGACAGCTAGAAACAAGCCCTCATAAACAGCTTGGGGAGTCCTTGAACCGATGCGTGTTAACATGTCCACCTTCCTGTCAATATAAAACTACAACAGCACAGCACTTTTTCCACTTTTCCTTAATGCTGAAGGACTCTTGATCCAAATAACAGAAGCTACCCTTCCCTTCCATATATCAAACATGATAGCCTAAAATTTCTTAGATGTTTAATGCTTCCAAATGAAAATTAAAATATAAGACAAAAATTTCCACTAAAATCCTTGGCATCTTCCCGAGCACTGTATGACCCACATGGGTTTAGTGTTTCCTCCTTCACACATAATCCTTCATACACAATTCCTTCACCATCATTCACACAGTGATTATGTGTGAATGAAGGTGAAAGTGTTTCTTACTTTTATGGATCATCCTGCCTCAGTGGGAGACAGCATGTTAAAAATTCCTTTCCAACACTTCATTTTCTTGTTGTATGGTATGGGGTAAAAGTTTGAAATCACTGAGACATCCTTAAATGAATCCCAAAATGTTTGAAACTTTGTATGGAAAGTCTGTTCTTCGAGATGAACATAACGACTAAGACAATAATGACTCAAATTTTTATTTTTGTGGACTACCCTAAGGGACATTCATTCATATACAAATATTTATAACTAATGCCTGACAGAAATGGTTCTAAAATTAAAAAATAAGCTTACTAAGAAATTTCTAGAAAAGTGCAAGCCATCAATGATACAAGAATATTCATTTAAAAATAGTACGTACATACATTCAGAAAACCTTCAGGTTATCATTATGCATTATCTGCAATTAGTGAATTTTATTTCCCCCCCCCCCCCCAAAAAATGCTTTGCCCAGTTATACTCCTCAACTCATGAATGTGAAGTTTTAATAATAATAAAATATTAATAAAATCAGGAATTCTATGGTATGGTGGTTTAATACTGGGTTGAAGGGTTGCAATAACACTACATCCATATGAGTCCAACTGTCAAGAGCACTGGAAGCATTTGACCTGTCACAGTTTGCCATCACCTGTAGATCTGAAAAAGGTACACGTGAGGGGCAGGATATCATCGACAAACAAATCAAAGCTCTTCCCTCAAAAATGACCTACAGAGGACAGTGTGAGCAGTAAGGAGCTGCAGATATGAGCTGGAAATGCTACACCATGATCAGCTGGGAGGGACACCATCAACAGTGTGCTGTTGATAAGCTTGAGACAGAGTTAAGGTACAAGGCAGGAATAACTATGGTGATTTACTCACCAAACTGGCATATGACTAAAGTTTTCTACATTTTCATCTTGTACAATATTTATTCTATTTCAGGCCAGTCAGGGTTATGACAGCCCAAGGGATCATGAGAACCATTACATCATAGGTTCAAATCCCAATCTATGATTGTATTCCCTTTTATTAGTGTTAAAAAGGTTTATTCATAAAAATCTATTTAGTTCATTCTCATTTTATATTTCCCACAATTACTAATACATTTAAAATATTTTATGTACACACAGTGTAAGTAAACACAACAACAACCACAGCAGAGAAGACAGCACTAACATTATATAAACATGCAAGTACATACCAGCACAGGTTTTCCTTGCTTTATGCTGATTTGCTATGTGTGATTTTGATTATATGCAGTAACCCCATTTTCACCATTATAATGGGTTTGCTACATGCGATTTCACTTTATACACCAACAATCAGGACTACATCTCTCACATAAAGCAAGGGGACACCTGTAATTCATTTTTAGCATTGGCTGATTATCTACAATTAGAGTTGCACCTTATTAACTTTAATCTGACTATTTGATGCCCAGTAATACTTAATTTGTTTTCTCCTTGCCAAAATGCTTTGCATATCTATGAACTTTCCCTGTGTGACACAACCAAAATTAACCAATTACTTTGACATTTTTTCTTTAACACACTGGTTGTCTCCCACCGAGATAGGGCGACCCGAAAAAGAAGAAACACTTTCACCATCATTCAATCACTGTTTGGCCAGAAGCATGCTGATGGCACAGGTCAGGTGACCCCTTACAAACTGCAACATCCCCACCCCTCCTTCAGAATGTAGGCACAGTACTTCCCATTTCAAGGACTCAAATTGAAAGACTGGTTTTCCTGAATCCCTTCACAAATGTTGCTTTATTCACACTCTCAGAGCATGTCAAATCATAAAAACCACTTGCCTCCACTAACTCCTATTTAACAGGTTCACATGAACTTGTTGGATGCCCAAGCCCCTAGCACTCAAAACCAGCTGCAGGCTGTGGGTGTGCTGATCCCAGAACACCCTCCAGGTAGGTAGACTCCCCCCCCCCTCCAACCCTTCCTGGGATGAGCCATATCCTTCCTTCCTTCCAACCCCTATTTACATGCCCTCCTAGTCATCCTATTTTGCTCCATCCTCTCTATATGCCCAAACCACCTCAACAACCCTTCCTCTGCCCACTGAATAATACTTTTGGTAACCCCACACAAACGTATCTTAGAAAACAATTTTGCATTTGTAGTGAAAAATTAGTATATGACTGGCAAGTCAGTGCTGGCAATTTCTGTGCAATTCTTCACTAAATAAAATATTAAAAAGCAAACCTAACTATATCTAAACAAAACTGAAATCCCATAAAATAATCATATTTAAATATAAATGGAAAAACTAGCTTTAGTACTTTTAGTTGAAAATAAATTTTTTGTACTTAAAATGTACCCTTAGACTCATTCCATGAAATATGTAAAAAAAAAAAAACACTACAGACTGAAGCCATACTACTCATGTCTATTAATGTCTAATAATATACTGTAGCTAACCTGAATTAATCACTTTTGACAATTTCTTAAAAGTACCAAAAACCACTGCTGGATCAATATAAAATAAGAAAAACTTATTTCAATAAGTTAATCAATGGCCATCGTAGGTAGGAACTTGCAGCCTTGGTCTGCCAGAGCTCTCAGAATGTTGGCAATGTTGTGACAGTCATCTAGAAAGTCAAAATCAGTCACCTTAATTACATATTTTAACATGATCTTTGAACACTTGTATGTTAGTTGTCACATTTCAGTTTTCCAGTACAGTGCCATAAAAAGTATTTGATTTAATGGAATTAAATTATAAGTGAATGATGCTTATGTAATCCACAAGGATTAAATACAAGGATATGAGGGTAAATGTTCATGTTTTATCCCTCAAGAGAAAAAGAAAACAAATACTCCTGCTAATGCACTTCTCAAATCCCACTTTTGAACCAAACCAAACAATTCTTGAATTTAAAAGTTTTCTTTACACAAGTGTTCGTTGAACATTACTCCTAAGAATGAATACTGTAACAATTCTCATGCTGAAACAACTCCAGGTGGAATGAAAAACACTGCAGTACAAATTAGACTAGAGAAATTAACTAACCTGAGCCATACGACTAGAAATTACAGGGTCAGGTTCTTTTATCAGTATTCACACACAGAAAACCTTCCTAGCAAATTACATGTAGTTGATATTCTGGTGGTGTGCAATATTTTTATATAGCAAAGACTTCTTTAAGACATTCTCCAAAATAAATAAGCTTCAATCCTGAATATCAGGACTGTAGTTTCTCAGCCTTCTTAATAATTTAATAACTTGATTAAGAGGGATGTAGGTAGTAGGTTGGTAGACAGCAACCGCCCAGGGAGGTACTACCGTCCTGCCAAGTGAGTGTAAAACGAAAGCCTGTAATTGTTTTACATGATGGTAGGATTGCTGGTGTCTTTTGTCTGTCTCATAAATATGCAAAATTTCAGGTATGTCTTGCCACTTCTACTTACACTTAGGTCACACTACGCATACGTGTACAAGCATATATATACACACCCCTCTGGGTTTTCTTCTATTTTCTTTCTAATTCTTGTTCTTGTTTATTTCCTCTTATCTCCATGGGGAAGTGGAACAGAATTCTTCCTCTGTAAGCCATGCGTGTCGTAAGAGGCGACTAAAATGCCGGGAGCAAGGGGCTAGTAACCCCTTCTCCTGTATATATTACTAAATATAAAAGGAGAAACTTTAGTTTTTTCTTTTGGGCCACCCTATCTCGGTGGGATATGGCTGGTATGTTAAAAGAATTAAGAGGGAATCACACACTACATCTCCTTCCTTGGGACATATTTTAGCTCCCAACATTTTTTTTTTTTTTTTATAGCACAACGGCCATCTCCTACCAAGGTAGGGAAATTCCTAACAAATATGTTGACCTAATTCAAAACTGGCTATCTCCCACTGAGGTAGGGCAGCTGCTAACAAATATGGTAACCCAATTCAAACATTTCACTCAGCCTGCAGAGGAAGCTGAGGTGGGGTTGGGGGGAGGTTAGGAAACAAAGAATTTAGCTCATTTGGCAATAGGTACTACCATCATCTACTTAGCTGACAGTAGCCATACATATAATTTTGACATTTATTCATTTATGTCACCATGGTTTTAACCCTTTCAGGGTTGGTGCCGTACTAGCACAGCTTGCACGCCACGGATGGTGCCGTACTAGTACGCATAAATTCTAGCGCCTTCAAATCTAGTAAGAGAAAGCTGGTAGGCCTACATATGAAAGAATGGGTCTATGTGGTCAGTGTGCATGGTATAAAAAAAATCCTGCAGAACACATTGCGTAATGAGAAAAAAAATCTCCGACCATGTTTTTGCTTCAAAACAGAGACTTTGAAGTGTATTTTCGTATGCTATTTATGGTTGTATTCTAGTTTTCCTGGTCTTATTTTAGAGAATGGAAGACATATTACAGAAATTGAGATGATTTTGATTGGTTTCACAATGAAAAGTACCTTGAAATTAAGCTCATAGTAGCAGAAATGTTCGATTTTTGCCAAAGTTCAAAAGTAAACAAATCATGCCACGCGTCCAATACACGTCAGCTGGTGAGTCTAATATTCTTTCACAAGTGCGCTGATATTATTTATACCATTTCTACACTAATGTAGTAGTCTGCATAACAGTAAATCTTCTATTTTTTTGTGAGAAAAATTCAAAGTGGAAAGCAAAAGAAATGTATGAGAGGCCTGGGGACATGACTAATGAACAGAAAAAATGTTTTAGTGCCAGGAATGTCTGTCTTGTTTATTCTAGACCCAATTTGGAAATTGGCATCTTTTGAAATTTGTGTGAAATTGGCAAAATTGCCAATTTTTGACCACTTTTTTTTTTTTTTGGATAGTTGAAATCAGTAAATGGGTGGTTTCTTGTATTCATTCAACAGAAAAAATGGAGTTCTAGCAAAATAGTTATGATTTTTGTCGACTGGTACATTGGAAATGGCTGAAAATAGGACTCAAAATAGGGCCTATGCATAAACATCGTCGAGACCGTTAACTTTGCGAGAGCATAATTCCATAAGTTTTCCATCAAATTTCATACTTTTGGTGTCATTATGATTGGGAAAAGATTCTTTATCATTTCACAAGAAAGAATAGTTTTTTCGATAAATTTCCGACCCCTGAGAACAAGTTTAGGAGAGGGCCTGCCGACCCTGAAAGGGTTAATAAATTTATAGAAGGGGTTGTAAAAGAAGTAAATGCTAGGGTGTTGGGGAGAGGGGTGGGATTAAATTATGGGAAATCAAATACAAAATGGGAATTGACACAGTTACTTTTTGCTGATGATACTGTCCTTATGGGATATTCTAAAGAAAAGTTGCAAAGGTTAGTGGACGAGTTTGGAAGTGTGTGTAAAGGTAGAAAGTTGAAAGTGAACACACAAAAGAGTAAGGTGATGAGGGTATCAAATGATTTAGGTAAAGAAAAATTGGAAATCAAATTGGAGAGGAGGAGTATGAAAGAAAGTAAATGTTTTCAGATATTTGGGAATTGACGTGTTAGCGGATGGATTTATGAAGGATGAGGTTAACCATAGAACTGGTGAAGGAAAAAAGGCGAGTGGTGCATTGAGGTATATCTTCTTCTTCTTTCAACAAACCGGCCGTATCCCACCAAGTAGGGTGGCCCAAATAGAAAAACGAAAGTTTCTCTTTTTAAATTTAGTAAGTTATACAGGAGAAGGGATTACTAGGCCCCTGAGGTATATGTGGAGACAAAAAACGTTATCTATAGAGGCAAAGAAGGGAATGTATGAAAGTATAGTGATACCAACACTCTTGTATGGGTATGAAGCTTGGGTTGTAAATGCTGCCAGCGAGGAGATGGTTGGAGGCGGTGGAGATGTCCTGTCTAAGGGCAATGAGTGGTGCAAGTATTATGCAGAGAATTCGGAGTGTGGAAGTTAGGAGAAGGTGTGGAGTTGATAAAAGTATTAGTCAGAGGGCTGAAGAGGGGTTGTTGAGGTGGTTTGGTCATTTAGAGAGAATGGATCAAAGTAGAATGATATGGAGAGCGTATAAATCTGTTTGGGAAGGAAGGCGGGGTAGGGGTCATCCTCGAAAAGATTGGAGGGAGGGGGTAAATGAAGTTTTGTGGGCGAGGGGCTTGGACTTCCACCAAGCGTGCATGAGCATGTTAGATAGGAGTGAATGAAGACGAATGGTATTTGGGACCTGACGAGCTGTTGGAGTGTGAGCAGGTTAATATTTAGTGAAGGGATTCAGGGAAACCGGTTATTTTTAAAGAGCCGGACTTGAGTACTGGAAATGGGAAGTACAATGCCTGTACTTTAAAGGAGGGGTTTGGGATCTTGGCGGTTTGGAGGGATATGTTATATATCTTTATACGTATATGCTTCTAAATTGTTGTAGTATTCTGGGGACCTCTGCAAAAACAGTGATTATGTATGAGTGAGGTGAAAGTGTTGAATGATGAAAGTATTTTCTTTTTGGGGATTTTCTTTCTTTTTGGGTCACCCTGCCTCGGTGGGAGAGGGCAGACTTTAAAAAAAAAAATAGCTACAAAAATATAAATGCATCAGTATTAAGGCATACTTATTAGCTATCTTACCAAGACCTCGATGAAGGCGGCCAATGTGAACAAGGTTGAGACCGTTAATCATTGGCATCATGCCTTTGACGTACTCTCCTGTCATCACTGCATAAGACTGAAATAATTGTTGTTGTTAACTCTCATAATACTACATTTGATAAGTTACAAGAAACATTTTTTTATTGTAGTATCAGCACCACTGTTGGGTCATAAGCCAGTAAAAACATTGTCACTGTCTTTTGGTACAACACAGACAAACATCTGATATACACAACTTGTGGGTTTAGCACTTCTTTTTTATTATGATTATAATAATATCATTCACTCTAAAATGGTGTGTTGCATGAGAATGGGAGTGTTGCTGTTTATTTATTCTTCCGTACTAACTTGTCAGAGCATCATTCCTTCTAAAAATGATGTTACATAAGAATGGAAGTGTTGCTCTTTATTCTACTGTACCACTGTGGAGACATCTTGTACACAATGTAAGGTTTTTATATGAATGTGTATGAACCAAAACAAGGTGTGTTTGTCTGTTTACATAGTACTCTGCAGTTTTGTCCTCATACTTGTTCTCTCCCTCGTTTATTCGTTTTTATCTCGCTTACTCACCTCTCACCCTACATTAAGACTACAAATATTTTTAGCTAAATAATGAGTGTACTGTGTGTGCATTTTACTTTTTATTGTTTTTTAATGCCTAGTGCTACTGCTAACTTAATATATATTAGTGTAATCTTGTTATCTGGTATTTATATGCATTTGTAAGTGGAAAAAATGGCATTCTGCTTTCCAGCGATGTCTGCTTTCTAGAGGTAGCCTGGAACCTAACCTGCCATATAAGTGGGGCCCTACTGTATTTATTAATTAGAAAAGTACTTATCTACATTGCACTGCACTATGTAATTTGTAAACCACACATTGTAAGCTTTGCAAGGAAATAAACATTTTCATTTTCAACACAAAGTCAGAGTTTTGCTTGTCCAATCATACACGCATTGTGGGGGGAAAGGATTTATGTTACACAGTGCACACTCACTACACATCCATTCTCTCATGTATAAGCAAAAGTTTACCATTCACAACTTGTCTGAGGAAGCTGATCTCAAAACATAGATCTACATAAGTGACCCTGGTATCAAAAACATACAAGACAGTGAACAGGGTAATAAATGGCAAATAAAGCAAAAGTTAAAAAAATAAAAATAAGAGAACCAGGTAGATGAAAAGTATGAAAATTGTCACACAGATTATTATGTTTTGTAATGAACTACTACAGTATTATAATTACAGTAATATCTGTAATAGATTTGTAATAAGCTAGAAGAAGCCTTTTTTATAACAATTATGAGCAAATAATGCTCACAAAAAAGAATTATAGGTGTTAACAGGAATCATGCACTTTTTTTTTTTTGTATTAGTTTAGTTCAATGCACAACAAGCAAACTTTGAAAAGGACCTTAAAATGCAATAGAATAACACTGTATAAATGTTAATTTGATGCTCAATGGATGAACAAATACAGTAATTTTTATATCTTAGTAATGATATGACAATGATGTACCCTATGAGAGACAGATAGGGTGACTTGAAAACAGGCAGTATGACTTGAAAAAGAAAGCCTTATAAAGCTTTTCTCCTTACATTTAATAATTTATACAGGAGAAGGGAGGTTATGAGTCCATTACTCTCAGCATTTTAGTTGCCTCTTACGACACGCATGGCTTACGGAGGAAGGATTCTTTCCCGCTTTCCTACGGAGATTTTTTTTTTAATGCACCAGCTGTATCCCACTGAGGCAGGGTGACCTAAAAAGAAAACCTAAAGGTTTCCTTTTTACATTTAGTAATTTATTCAGGAGAAGAGCTACTAGCCTCTGCTCCATGTACTTTTGTCCCTCCTTACAGAGGAAGGATTCTTTTCCACTTCCCCATGGAGATTGATGGTATTTACCTTTTTAATATTGAGCCATGTCTTGCAGTATACAGGTACCTGGTAGTTCTCTAGGTCGCACTGACTTGGGAGCATAGTTTTCAGATCCCAGTCTCCACATGTGACAAAAAGAAACTTTGAGTTCAGTCCCACATCCTCTTGTATCCACTTATCAAATTCTTCAAAGACAACGGGAAACGGTTTTCCTGCATCCACCTCTTCCTGGTAAAACGTTATTAGAGCATATTGATAAATTTTATCAAAGTTATCCACAACTGTGCATGTCAATATTTTTAATGCACCAGCCATCTCCCACCAGAAACACATTCACCAACATACATTCAATCGCTGTCTTGTCAGAAGCATGCTGACATCACAGTTTAGATGATCCTTTGAACTGCAACATCCTCACCCAGTGCCAGCACTGTATTTCCCATCTCCATGATTCAAGTCTAGCTAACCGATTTTCCTGAATCCTTCACAAATGTTACCTTCCTCATACTCCAACAGCACATCAGGTCACAAATACCACTTACCTCCACTCACTCTGGTTTAAAGTGCTCACCCAACTCTGTTGGACAATCAAGCTTTTAGCACTTAAAACTTCCTTTACCCCTTCTAACCCCCTCCTTCCCAGCACATCAAACTAGCATACCTTCCAAGTTATTCTATTTTGCGCCATCCCTCTAAGTGCCCAAGTCACCTCAACAACACCCACTCAGCCCTCTGTATTATACTTTTGGAGGCACCAAACCTTCTATTCTCCATGCTCCTAATTCTTTTTTCAACACACTGGCCGCATCCCACCAAGGCGGGGTGGCCCAAAAGGAAAAACAAAAGTCTCTCCTTTTACATTTAGTAATATATACAGAAGAAGAGGTTACTAGCCCCTTGCTCCTGGCATTTTAGTCGCCTCTTACAACACGCATGGCTTACAGAGGAAGAATTCTGTTCCACTTTCCCATGGAGGTAAGAGGAAATAAACAAGAACAAGAACTAAAAAGAAAATACAAGAAAACCCAGAGGGGTGTGTGTATATATATGCTTGTACATATATGTGTAGTGTGACCTAAGTGCAAGTAGAAATAGCAAGACGTACCTGAAATCTTGCATGTGTATGAGACAGAAAAAAAAAAAGACACCAGCAATCCTACCATCAATGCTCCTAATTCTCTGCATAATATTCACACCACATATTGCCATCCAATATGACATTTCCACTGCCTCTAGCCTCCTCTTTGCTGCACATCAAAATAAACTATAATGGAAAATACTGCATTCATTCACAATGTAATAAAGGAAACATGAAGAAAAAATAAAATTTCTACTGTTTACATTTGTCCATTAATTACTGACCACACACAGACTGTTGATAGCTGAGGACTCTCTAACAAAGAACTATGTAGAATAAAGTAACTGATATTTTAAATGATGAATAACAAATTTTACATAAAGAAGTAAAACATATTACAAATAATAATTCTAGGTAAAATCATTCAATTATTTTATGCACTGATGACAATGTCTGACTTAAGAAGGGTGCCGGTGGAGGAAGTACGTGGGTGGAGGGGTAAGGATGTTGCAGTTTGCAGGACCATCTGAACTGCAATGTAAACCTGATTTGGACAAAAAAAAAGAGAATGAATAAATGACAAGCTCATTTGGTACTAATCAATCAAGAATCCAGAATTTTAAAACTGTTTCAACTGGTAATAGGATTAAAATTTGGATTTTACGTTTTCCTATTTATCAAACTCACTGATATTTTGTATGAAAATTTGTTTTGTATGGAAATTATCACAATTATTGATCAAACTTGGTATTAAAAATAAACCCAACAAAATCTGCAACTGGAATTTACATTATTTGCAACACTTTCCAAACTTAATGTGGTCTGGATTAAAGTGCAATTAATGCACCTGCCCAAGCTGTGGTATTTTGGAAAGAAATGATATAAAACACTGACACGATGAACAAAAACACAAATGCAGTATAATGCAATGTTTTACCTGCAGACAAATAAAAGTTTTTGCATAAGCAAAACTTTGTCAATAAAGGAACATATTATACTGCATGTCTCTTTACCCACTGAGAAATTTTGAAAGATGATATACCTTAACTTTCAGGGTTGGTCCTGTGTATGTAAGGCTTGATAGCCAGTGTCGGTCCTGTATTTATATGCCAAAATTCTAGCGCCTTCAAATCTGGTGGACGAAAGCTGGTAGGCCTACATATGAAAGTATGGGTCTGCATGGTCAGTTTACCTGGAGTTTACCTGGAGAGAGTTCCGGGGTCAACGCCCCCGCGGCCCGGTCTACGACCAGGCCTCCTGGTGGATCAGAGCCTGATCAACCAGGCTGTTACTGCTGGCTGCACGCAAACCAACGTACGAGCCACAGCCCGACTGATCAGGAACCGACTTTAGGTGCTTGTCCAGTGCCAGCTTGAAGACTACCAGGGGTCTGTTGGTAATCCCCCTTATGTATGCTGGGAGACAGTTGAACAGTCTCGGGCCCCTGACACTTATTGTATGGTCTCTTAACGTGCTAGTGACACCCCTGCTTTTCATTGGGGGGATGTTGCATCGTCTGCCAAGTCTTTTGCTTTCGTAGTGAGTGATTTTCGTGTGCAAGTTTGGTACTAGTCCCTCTAGGATTTTCCAGGTGTATATAATCATGTATCTCTCCCGCCTGCATTCCAGGGAATACAGGTTCAGGAACCTCAAGCGCTCCCAGTAATTGAGGTGTTTTATCTCCGTTATGCGCGCAGTGAAGGTTCTCTGTACATTTTCAAGGTCAGCAATTTCACCTGCATTGAAAGGTGCTGTTAGTGTGCAGCAATATTCCAGCCTAGATAGAACAAGTGACCTGAAGAGTGTCATCACGGGCTTGGCATCCCTCGTTTTGAAGGTTCTCATTATCCATCCTGTCATTTTTCTAGCAGATGCGATCGATACAATGTTATGGTCCTTGAAGGTGAGATCCTCCGACATGATCACTCCCAGGTCTTTGACGTTGGTGTTTCGCTCTATTTTGTGGCCAGAATTTCTTTTGTACTCTGATGAAGATTTAATTTCCTCATGTTTACCATATCTGAGTAATTGAAATTTCTCATCGTTGAACTTCATATTGTTTTCTGCAGCCCACTGAAAGATTTGGTTGATGTCCGCCTGGAGCCTTGCAGTGTCTGCAATGGAAGACACTGTCATGCAGATTCAGGGTGTCATCTGCAAAGGAAGACACGGTGCTGTGGCTGACATCCTTGTCTATGTCAGATATGAGGATGAGGAACAAGATGGGAGCGAGTACTGTGCCTTGTGGAACAGAGCTTTTCACCATGCCTGCCTCGGACTTTACTCTGTTGACTACTACTCTCTGTGTTCTGTTTGTGAGGAAATTATAGATCCATCGACCGACTTTCCTGTTATTCCTTTAGCACGCATTTTGTGCGCTATTACGCCATGGTCACACTTGTCGAAGGCTTTTGCAAAGTCTGTATATATTACATCTGCATTCTTTTTGTCTTTAGTGCATCTAGGACCTTGTCGTAGTGATCCAATAGTTGAGACAGACAGGAGCGACCTGTTCTAAACCCATGTTGCCCTGGGTTGTGTAACTGATGGGTTTCTAGATGGGTGGTGATCTTGCTTCTTAGGACTCTTTCAAAGATTTTTATGATATGGGATGTTAGTGCTATCGGTCTGTAGTTCTTTGCTGTTGCTTTACTGCCCCCTTTGTGGAGTGGGGCTATGTCTGTTGCTTTTAGTAACTGTGGGACGACCCCTGTGTCCATGTTCCCTCTCCATAGGATGGTAAAGGCTCGTGATAGGGGCTTCTTGCAGTTCTTGATGAACATGGAGTTCCATGAGTCTGGCCCTGGGGCAGAGTGCATGGGCATGTCATTTATCGCCTGTTCGAAGTCATTTGGCATCAGGATAACATCAGATAGGCTTGTGTTAACCAAATTCTGTGGCTCTCTCATAAAAAATTCATTTTGATCTTCGACTCTCAGTCTGGTTAGTGGCTTGCTAAAAACTGAGTCATATTGGGACTTGAGTAGCTCACTCATTTCCTTGCTGTCATCTGTGTAGGACCCATCTTGTTTAAGTAAGGGCCCAATACTGGACGTTGTTCTCGACTTTGATTTGGCATAGGAGAAGAAATACTTTGGGTTTCTTTCGATTTCATTTATGGCTTTTAGTTCTTCCCGCGATTCCTGACTCCTATAAGATTCCTTTAGCTTAAGTTCGATGTTTGCTATTTCTCTGACCAGTGTCTCCCTACGTATTTCAGATAGATTGACCTCTTTTAGCTGCTCTGTTATTCTTTTCCGTCGCCTGTAAAGAGAGCGCCTGTCTCTTTCTATTTTACATCTACTCCTCCTTTTTCTTAGAGGAATAAGTCTTGTGCATACATCGAGTGCCACCAAGTTAATCTGTTCTAGGCATAAGTTGGGGTCTGTGTTGCTTAGTATATCTTCCCAGCTTATATCGGTTAGGACTTGGTTTACTTGGTCCCACTTTATGTTTTTTGTTATTGAAGTTGAATTTGGTGAATGCTCCCTCGTGACTAATCTCATTTTGTCGGTCTGGGGCTCTGCGCATACATGTCTGAACCTCAATTATGTTGTGATCTGAGTATATTGTTTTTGATTATGGTGACATTTCTTATCAGATCATCACTGTTAGTGAAGATGAGGTCTAGTGTATTCTCCAGTCTAGTAGGCTCTATTATTTGCTGGTTTAAATTGAATTTTGTGCAGAGATTTAAAAGCTCGTGTGAGTGTGAGTTTTCATCAGAGCTGCCTCCTGGTGTTATTACTGCAACAATATTATTTGCTATATTCCTCCATTTTAGGTGCCTTAAGTTGAAATCCCCCAGGAGCAAGATGTTGGGTGCAGGAGCTGGAAGATTTTCCAGACAGTGGTCAATTTTTAACAGCTGTTCCTGGAATTGCTGGGATGTTGCATCCGGAGGCTTGTAGACTACCACAATGACTAGGTTTTGGTTCTCGACCTTTACTGCTAAAACTTCCACTACATCATTTGAGGCATTAAGCAGTTCTGTGCAAACAAGTGACTCTGCAATATACAGGCCAACCCCCCCCCCCCTTTTGCCTGTTCACTCTGTCACATCTGTATAGGTTGTAACCTGGGATCCATATTTCGTTGTCTAAGTGATCCTTTATGTGGGTCTCAGTGAAAGCGGCGAACATTGCCTTTGCCTCTGCAAGCAGTCCACGGATGAAAGGTATTTTGTTGTTTGTTGCTGGCTTTAGACCCTGTATATTTGCAAAGAAGAATGTCATCGGACTGGTGGTATTGTTGGTACTGGGGGGGGATTTTTTTTCCGGCATTAGTATCTGTATCTGTTGGTTTGGAGTGGAGGCCATTGACTGTGGTTGCACTCCAGGAATGACTGGATTTCGTGTACAATTTATGCCATTTCCTGCCAGTATAAAAATAAGTCCTGCAGTACGCAGTGCATGAGAAACAAAGCTCCTACAGAGTTTTTGGTTTAAAACAGCGAATTTGCAGTGTATTTTTGTATGGTATTTATAGTTTTATTCTTGTTTTCTTTGTCTCATTTAACAGAATGGAAGATATATTTCTGCAAGAGATATTATTTTCATTGGTTTCATAATAAAAAGTACAGTACCTTGAAATTGAGCTCAAATTAGTGGAAATGTTTGATTTTTGCCGATGTTCAAGAGTAAACAAATCACGCCACACGTCCAATACATGTCAACTGGCAAATCTAATACGTATTTTTTCAAAAGTGCACTGATATTATTTATACCATCTTTACAATAATACAGTAGTTTGCATAACAGTAAATCTTCTATTTTTTGAGAATAAAAATTCAAAATGGAAAGCAAGAGTAATATAAGAGGGGCCTGGAGACATGACTAATGAACAGAGAAATGTTATTTTACTGCCAAGAATATCTGTCTTATTTATTCTGGACCCTATTTTGAAATTGGCATCTTTTGAAATTTGGTTGAAATTGGCCAAATTGCCAATTTCTGACCACTTTATTGGGTAGTTGAAATAGGTAAATGGGCGGTTTCTTGTACTCAATCAATAGAACAAATGGAGCTCTAGCAAAAGAGATATGATTTTAGTCAACTGGAACAATGGAATTGCCTGAAAATAGGGCTCAAAGTGGGCAAAATCGCCAATGTGAAAACATTGCCGATATCACTAATTTCGTGAGAGCATAATTTCGGACTTTTAGTGTCATTACCATCATGAAAAGATTCTCCATCATTTCACAAGAAAAATCTTTTTTTTTTAATTTTCGACCCTGAGAGTGAGTTAACCCCTTGACTGTCACAACCCCCAATCCTGAAGTGTCTCCTGGTGTCGCAAAATTTATAAAAAAAAAAAAAAAAAAAAAAAAAAATCTTATGAAATGATAGAGAATCTTTTCCCGATTGTAATGACACCAAAAACACAAAATTTGATGGAAAACCGACAGAATTACGCTCTCGCGAAGTTAGCGACCTTGGCGATATTTACAAATTGGCGATTTCGCCCACTTTGATCACAATTTTCTGGCTAATTCCATTGTTCCAGTCGACCAAACTCATAGCTAGTTCTTTAGAACTCCATTTTTTCTATCGATTGAGTACAAGAAACTACCCATTTACTGATTTCAACTACCCAATAACGTGGTCAGAAATTTGCAATTTGGCTAATTTCACGAAAATAAAAAAATATGACAATTTCAAAATACGGTCCAGAATGAACAATGCAGACATTCCTGGCTCTAAAATAACATTTTCTTTGTTCATCAGTCATGTCTCCAGGCCCCTCTGATATTACTCTTGCTTTCTATTTTGAATTTTTATTCAAACAAAAACTATTCTATTTACTGTTATGCAGACTACTGCAATACTGTAATAATTGTATAAATAACATCAACACATTCACGACTGCATATTAGAATGGCTAGTTCGACATTTATTGGATAATAACATTCACGACTGCATATTAGAATGGCTAGTTCGACATTTATTGGATAATAACATCATTTATTTACTTATGAGCATCGGCAAAAATCAAACATTTCCCCTACTTTGAGCTCCATTTCCAGGTTCTTTTTATAGTAAAATTAATCAAAATCACCTCTATTTCTATAATATGTTTTCCATTCTATCAAATGAGACCAAGAAAATGAGAATACAACCATAAATACTATACAAAAATAGACCACAAAGTCGGCATTTTAATTTAAAAAAAACGGTCGGTGTTTTTTTTTCTCATTATGCACTGCATGCTCCAGGATTTTTTTTATATGGTGCACACTGACCACACAAACCCATTCTCTCACATGTGGGCCTACCAGCTTTCTCCTGCTTGATTTGAAGCCGCTAGAATTTATGAGTATACATACGTCAAACACTGTACCTCGTAAGACGTATATATATACGACGTCGACAGTCAAAGGGTTAAGGATCGGGGGTCTCGACCGTCAAAGGGTTTATAATAGACACTATACCATCATACCTAACTCTGTTTTAAATGAAAAGTGCAGACTACAAGTTATGCAAACTGACTAATAAATTGAATTACCTGCGTTATTGTAGTGAGTTTCATGCAGAAATCAGTCAATTTAGGGTTATGTTTTGGCTTCACAAAATGGTGGAACTGAGAATCAACTTCATAGGTCTTTGCATTCACTTTCAGAACTGGGAATTCAATGATTTCCTGAGGACAAAATCAACAACTTCAGAGATGGGAAAAATCTCTCAAGAAGAATACAGATCAATACAGCTGAAGAGGCCATGTGACTAAGAAACAATGCTAATTATCTATCTTATTGAATAATGATTTTCTATTATCAAATTGCTTCAACTCTTACAGCAACTCATTTTAATACTTACCAAGAAAGATGGGAATGGAGAAAAGAATGACTTTGCTGAGACAGTAATTACAGAGAGGACTTTGTCATTATCAATGCAACTGGCAACATAATTTTTTTTTTTTTAAATTTCATGAAGCCCTAAACTATTTTGGGTCATTCATCAATGATAAAAGCTCAAGCTTCTATCTGGTAATCAAAGCGTAGTCTCTGACCAGTCAGGCTGTAGGCAAAAGCTAGCAACATATCAAAGCGTAGTCTCTGACCAGTCAAGCTGTAGGCAAAAGCTAGCAACATGGAAAAAAAAAATGTGCTTCACTGTATTTACTTTAGCCTCTAAATAAGTTAATGTCATCTCTATAAGATGGGATGCTTCAGATGATGGCTTTACTGATGCTTCAGATGATGCTTTTAGGCACATCTTAGCAAATATGCTCTCAATCAAAACTGGTCAAGAATCAAACTCAGGTATCTTAAGGATCTATATGTCCAAACTGTGGTGATTCTTAGTGTCATTTAAAAGACAGCAAAAAAATCTACCAATTTCACTTTGATAACTTAGAAATACAGTATCATGACTCATAATTTTCAAAGACTGAGAAACATATTTTGTCAAATACAGAAACAAATTTCTTGAAGAAATTGTATATTAAAAATAAATTTAGCATATCATTCATGTTTATCATATGATGATGGCATTACAAGACCTTGGAACCTTAACTGCTGACTTGGCCTATTACACAACATCTACCTCCCATTCCAACCAACCATATAATTATGGTACATATAATTAATAAAGTCTATTATTTAAAAATGTTTACAGGTTAATGCCATTTCAAAATATTTTTATTTAAGCATATCACTATGGACGTGTTTTACAAGCAAATAAGAGTTGTGATACCATGATATACGAGCGATTCAGTTTTTACATCATCTATTCTTACACTCTTAGTGAAACAAATTGATTTACTGACGAAAACTTGCAACTTCTTTTTTTACAAGTCCTATCTTATTTCCATACAGTATTTGACAGTTATGTTATCTATGCATTCAGGGCAAAGTCATCAGTAAACAATTTACATCTTTCATTCTTTTCCATCTCTTTATATATTTCTCATTCTATATAACCTATCAAGTACGGCCCCCATACTTACTCATTCTACAAGTACGTAATTTCCAAAACTTCTGACATCAACGCTGACAACAATACAGTATCTGCACTATCTCTGAGCAATTTTATTACACATCATAAAATCTTGACAAAACTTTTTGTTTAAAACTCCCTCCCAATTTGTATTGTTATTATATGCATGGAAAGCACTAAAATGTAAGGATCAGATAGTGCTTAGAAAATGGAAGGTGGTCAGGTGGGATCCAATTCTATGGATCAATCTTAATGAGCAAAAAGGCACAATTCCGTGAGTGGAACAAAACACAAATAACCAGCACACAGGAGAGAGGAGCTTACGACGATGAATCATCATCGAAATGTACGAGTTATTTATGGATCGATCTTAATTATGTGTATATAATATATATGATACATAGCTCCAATAAATGCAACCAATGCATTTTTAATTATTAATGACTGTCATACTAATATATCTTGTTATTGTTTTGACTGCCATACTAATACATCTTGTCAATATTTTAATAGGCCTATGACACATATGCTGACTAACCTGCGGATGAATTTTTTTTCCATCATCGCATGTGGCCTCAAAATCAAGCACAAGAAAATATTCAAATTGCTGTGGTATTCTCTTTGCCATTCTTGATTGAAGTAGTCTAATACGAGAATTGAAATGTCGTAATGGTATCCTCTTCGCTGTAACATAAAAAAAAGGTTACAATAATTCTGACAATTTACAAAATTACTATACAGCAATCCCTGACATATTTCCATGTGATGCTTGCATATGGTGAATATAATGTTAATGAGAGAAAGTAAAAACAATGATTGTGAGGTTACAGTATTAAAAACTTCTGCAAAAAGGTGATCCACAGATAATTTACATGGATAAACATGATACATGGATGGTGACATGATGAAAATGCTACACAATGTACACTACACAATGTACACTACACAATGTACACTACACAATGTTACATTCCTAAAAATGCTGTTAGGTAAAACCGTGTTAAACTGAAAAACTTAGAGGAAAAATAGGGTTAAGTTCTTGGGAGCCCCCAAAAAGCCAAACAACTTTCTTTTTTAGACCAACAGATCTTACAAAAATAAAAGTGAATATGTAATTGTAGTTCACTGTTGCGATATATTACATTTTTACTGCTTAAGACTACAAATGCAACAGAAATAATAGTACAGTGGAACCTCTACTTATGAGTTTAATCCATTCCATGACCTTGCTCGCAACTGGATTTGCTCATTTGCAGAGTCAATTTTCCTCATTTAAATTAATTGAAATGCAATTAATTCATTCCAGTGGAATTCCAGGCACCAGAAAATACTTTAATAATTTCCCTAATATCATCTCTACAGCTTTTTATCTATCACAATTCATGTAATATGACATAAAAAACAATATTAATAACATAGAAACATGATATATACACTAGAATGAATAAAATACATGTCATTAGGTATGTGGCTAGTGGTGGTGACAGCAGCCATTGCTGTTGGAGTTTATAGGGCCACCAAAGTGGCCATTCCTGCTCCTGACTACATGTGTAGAGAACCTAGGATAACCCAAAAAAGTCACACAGAGTGACTTATAAGTGTTACACTCTTAATGCTACACTTAATTGCTACACTCGTAATGCTACACCTTGCCACTGCTGCTTCATGTTGTCTGCCACTGCTACCTCATGATGTCTACCACTGTTGCTTCATGTTGTCTGCCACTACTGCTTTATGTTGTCTGCCACTGCTACCTCATAATGTCTACCACTGATGTCGCCAAAGAATCGAACATTTCTGTTATTTTGAGCTCAATTTCAAGGTACTTTTCATCGTGAAACCAATTAAAATCATTTATTTTTGTAGTACAGTGGAGCCCCGCATAACGATTACCTCCGAATGTGACAAATTATGTAAGTGTATTTATGTAAGTGCATTTGTACGTGTATGTTTGGGGGTCTGAAATGGACTAATCTACTTCACAATATTTCTTATGGGAACAAATTCGGTCAGTACTGGCACCTGAACATACTTCTGGAGTGAAAAAATATCGTTAACTGGGGGTCCACTGTATATCTTCCATTCTATCACAGGAGACCAAATAAAACGAGAATACAGCCATAAAAACCATACGAAAATATACCGCTAAGGGGAGGCTAATGGCTGAGAAGTGAACTCCATTATTTATGGTTCGATTTCTTTCATTTTTGGTGTACGTTAAGAAGCATCTTTTCATCATACATTGCCCAAGTTTCAATAAGATAGTCCAACAAACAACCGAGATCCAGTTCCCAAGATCAAGAGCAAGGGCCCCCTCACCAGTGTCAATTAACTTCCCTCGAGGCCGGTCGCATCTGGAAATTTTGCTCACGTCTGGAAGCAAAAAATCTACAGAGCAGCTGCTCGCATCTGGAAAAACTCGCAAGTGGATGTACTCGTAAGTAGAGGTTCCAATGTATTTCTTGCCTTAAATTGTGGCTGCTGGTGTATGTACGGGGGCCCTGTGGCCTGGCTGGCAAAGCTCTTGCTTCACACACGGAGAGCCCAGGTTCGATTCCTGGCGGGTTGGAAACGTTTCGACACGTTTCCTTACGTCTGTTGTCCTGTTCACCCAGCAGCAAGTAGATACCTGAGTGTTAGTCGACTGGTGTGGGTCGCATCCTGGGGGACAAAATTGAGGACCCCAATGGAAATATGACAGACAGTCCTCGATGACACACTGCCTTTCTTGGGTTATCCTGGGTGGCTAACCCTCCAAGGCTAAAAATCCAAACAAAATCTTATCTTATCTCGTCAGTGGCTGTGAAGACAGCGGAGATTCATGGTTTGGGCCTACTGGGCTGAGGTGGATGGTTGGTGGTCGTTGGCAGAAGTGGATGGTAGAGGTTCTGGTACTAAAGTCGATGGTTGTATTGGAGTATGCATAAATTCTGTAATGGATCTCTGCGTTCTTGTACCCTGCAGTACATTATACAGCTGACGGCAAGGCATCATCAGCTGGTTTAAACCCCATTTCAAAGCACTGCTTCTAGATTTGTCAGGGTCCTCTTCAGTGAAAAAAGTCTGCTAGTTTAGCAGCAACATGGAAATGCTCACATAACTGCTGCAATGTTAACTGTTTTTCTACAGGTTTTTCTTCTATTATGTGGCTCCCTTGTATCTGTGCATCTAAGAGCTCATTCACATCTTCATTCATATCTTCAAAACCATCACCACCTTGCCAGCTGAAGAATTTCCTGAACCTGACTCTTAAGCAAGGGAAAACCAGTGAAAGAACAAACTACAGAAGGCCATAACTTTCCCCAGACTGCATTTAATGTTGATTGGGAGCACTTCATTCCAAGCACTTCTAGCATAGCTGATGGCATCTGCAATGCTAAATTGATTCCAGAAACTTGGTACTGCCAGGTTGGAGTCAAGAGTCCATTGATGCAACTAGTTTTTTCATAACTTTTTTTTGTGTAGTACACTTGAATGACTTAATAACTCCCCGAGCCAGTGGTTGTATTAAAGATGTTGTATCTGGAGGTAAAAATACAACTTTTACATGTGGGGTCACATCCAGTGGGATTATCAAGAATGAAGAGAGCCTTGAATGCAAGGTTCTTGCTGTGCAGGTAAAATTTTTTCCCCTCCAGCAAACCAAACTGTGTTAAGTTAATTTTACGAAATGTTGTATAAAATTGTGCTACAATTATTCAATAGTGCAATAACCAAAACATGCCAAACAAAACTTGTACTATAACAGTCTACTGTACATCAGACAAACTTAAATATGCAACCATAGTATAATATCCACATCTTTTATTTCTTCACAAAGATGACGATGTGTGATTCACAGTTTATAAAATGTTGTTAAGTACACCTACCATTCGACTTACAACCGAGCTTGGTTCCAACTAACCGGTCAAAATGGACACAAGTTGAACCTTACTACTGAATATCAGCTTCACATTAAGTAATGATTTGATTTTATTGTTTTATTTTGGTATTTCACTTTTTACTTTACTTTTTATACTGTTAGTACTGTATTTTATACTTTAAGGTTTAGGAGAAACACTGTGTACAACACAAACAGTTGTTTATTTCCCAGAACATTTGCATACAAAACACGGTCGTAAGTTGAGTGGTCATATGTCGAGCAGGTCGTAAGTTGGATGGTAGGCATACAAATTAAGCATTTTGAGCAGACTAAAACAAAAAAATCCTAAAATGCTACAAAATGACTCCTAGAGCTAGGAAAGTTGAACTACGAAAAAAGAAAAAGATTGACAGAACTGACAATGCCTTCACTGGAAAAGAAAACACAGTAAGCCATAGTAGCCACATAAAAAAAAAAAAAACATTGGATAATAGTTGCAAATAAAAAATATTCATCTTTGACAAGAAGATGAAGCCACAGTTATGGTATAATTATAGCATATTGTTGGAATGGGATTTAACACGACGTAGTACAATATTTCCTAAAATCACTGAAATCTAAAAAACATGTCAAAATAAATATGTACTGAAAATGGGACATAGCTCTGCTTTGGTACAATATTTACTATGTGGTAACAGAGTTAGGATAAGATCTGTAATAAAACAGGTGAAACAGAGCATGCTAACACTATTAGTAGTACGTGCTTTAAGCACATCAGCAATCTCCCACCAGGCTAGGATGACCCCAACAAGGAAACACAATCACCCTCATTCATTCAACCGCAGTCTTGCCCAAGTGCAAAGACATCACAATTCAAATGATCCTCAGAACTGCAACACCCTCACCCCTCCTTCATGGTGTAGGCACTGTGCTTGCCACCACCCCCTCCAGGACTCAAGTCTGGCTAAACAGTTTCCCTTATTCCCTTCCTACATGTTAATGTGTTCACTCTCCAACAGCACAATCAAGCCATAAAAAAGCACTTATCTCCACTCCTTCCCAACACATTCACACATGCCTGTTGAATGCAATCTAAACCTACTTTATCTCCTTCCAACCCTTCATGGGATGACCCTACTCCTCCTTCCTACCACCCCAGATTTTTTCATCCAATTGATCATCATACCTACTCTATAGTCTCTAAATGCCCAGACTATTTCAACAACCCCTCCTCAGCCCTCAAATCATACTTTTGGTAATCCAATTCTCTCTTCTATTCTCTATGCTGAGAAATATTCTACATAATATCCACATCACACACTGCTGTCAAACATAATGTCTCTATGCCTTTAGCTTCCTTTTCACTGCAATGTATAAAGCTCATGCCTCTCACCAATATAAGAATTGGAAGAAATATTGAGTGAAACCATTGTGTCAAGTAGTCTTGCAAAAAAAAAAAAAAAAAAAAATACTATGGTCGGTTACAGTGGTTTTTGAATACTACACTTTACTGCACATATATATTTATCACATGAAAATAGTAATGCTGAATGATAAAAAAATAAAGTTTGTACTTTCCACAGAAATAATCAAGTAATAAAAGAAAAAACTGCTATATAAAGCTTAGTGTAAAAAATTTACTATATAAAACAATTGTAAAAATTAAAATCATGCACAATTCTTAAATAAAAGCTTAATTTAAGCTCACAAGCAGTGAAACAGTAAGAAGAGAGGAACAAAATGCACTAATAACTTACTGTTCCTGAACATGAAGACTGCACACCCACTGATAAGACTGATAACCAACAAGATAGTGATCACTTCACTTCAGAATATGTGCAGTTTGCTTAGAGGGTCCTGATAACTGATGAAACACTGATTGTTAATAATTATGACTAGACTTTTTACAATATTTAATAGTTAGATATTACAAGGAGCTCAATGGAAATAAGTCACTTAGACTTTTGGTAGGTTTTCCTCAATAATTTACACATACAATGTTATGCAAGGCATTTTCCTTGATAATTTGCACCTATATATCGTAAGTAAGATGTTTTCTTTGAAAATTTACACACACATATTGTGAAAGATGTTTTCCTCAACAATTTACACATATACAGCCTCTCCTCACTTAACGACACAGTTCTGTTCCTAAGATCACATCAGTAAATGAATTCGTTGCTAAGTGAGGAGCCTACAGTACGTACTATAATGGTAGTGGGTCTGTGTCAACCATCTTCGATATTATTTTAACGTCACCTTTGAACCATATACGTATAACATTTCTGGTATAATTTTAAATGTTTATTCGGTAGAGTACTGTATATTGTAATAAACAGTATCGAGGAAATCAGCTCTAATATACATTTTTTAGGTATGCAAACTGGTCAGAGAGCCTGTTGTAAGTCAGAGTCATCAGTACACGAGAGAGTTGCTAAGTGAAGAGAGGCTGTACTGTTATGCAAGATGTTTTTCCTCGATAATTTACACATATACATTATGCAAGACGTTTTTCTTGATAATTTACACACATTATGTAAGATGATTTCCTTGGAAATTTGAACATATATTGTTATGTAATACAATGTTAATAAAAATAAATTGTTTAACTGTACTCAAAAATCAGAGGATCTCGCCTTCAAAGACCACAACAATGTATCTACCTCATCTACTAGAAAATGATAGGATGGATAATGAGAACCTTCAAAACTAGGGATGCCAAGCCCATGATGATTCTCTTCAAATCGCTTGTGCTCCCTAGGCTGGAATACTGCTGTACACTAATGGCTCCCTTAAAGGCTGGCGACATTGCATACTTGGAGAGTGTACAAAGAACTTTCACGGCACACATAAGTACGATAAGGCAACTAAACTACTGGGAACAGTTGAAGGTCCTTGATCTGTATTCCCTCGAACACAGGCGAGAGAGATACATGATAATATACACTTGGAAGGTCCTGGAGGGATTGGTGCCAAACTCGCACAAGAAAATCACTCCCTATGACAGCAAAAGACTCGGCAGGAGATGCAACATTCCCCTGATGAAAAGCAGGGGCGCCACGACTACATTGAGAGACAACACAGTAAGTGTCAAGGGGCCAAAACTGCTCAATTGCCCTCCCAGCATACATAAGGAGAATTACCAATAGACCCTGGCTGTCTTCAAGAAGGCACTGGACAGGCACCTAAAGTCAGTACCTGACCAACCGGGCTGTGGTTCGTACGTCAGCTTGTGTGCGGCCAGCAGCAACAGCCTGGTTGATCAGACCCTGATCCACCATGAGGCCTGGTCTCAGACTGGGCCGCGGGGGCGTTGGCCCCAAAACCCTCTCCAGGTAAACTCCAGACAGTCGTCTCCTCCCACTATATGTGTGGAAAAATCTTTCTTAATTTAAGAAATAATATTAATGAGTATTGAGCACGAATAAATTCGGGACAAGTGGTAGTAAAACCCTTTTGTATACATTCTAAAAAAGCAAACAGAGAAAAACTCTATAGAAACGTTGTAAATTGCCTCGTTGCTGACGGCAGACAAGAAACGATGGTCCTACTTGTTGTAATGAAAAAAAATGAAGTCTGGCAATAAGAAAACAAAAATGCTGAACGGTAGGTTGGAGATTTGAGTGGGAATAATCGGGTTAATTGGAGTTTGAGAAGTAAGGACATGAAGGGATCAGTAATTGTTAAATGTCAGTTATGAAGCTGAAAGAAGAATAATACAATTTGTATTCCATGAAGTTTTTGGATTTGAAAGTTGCATGGAATGAATGCTTGGGTAAACCATAAGCTGCTAGACCTAAGGGGGGACTAAAGTAAGGATTACAACTAATTTATGGAGAAATTGATGAAGTCTAGTTATTTGACAAGGTGGAGATGAATTGTGGGAGGAGACGGTGGAGCATGAGTAGAAACTTTAGGAGGTTGTTGTTATGTAAGTTTGTTTTTACACCGGCGATTCAAAGAGGGTGGCCCGAATTGAAAACTTTCATAGATCATTAGTAAGTATACATTTTTAGAAAAGAGGAGATATTAACACAGTTTTTAATGGCGAAATTAACACTCTTCGATGGATAGTATTGTAATAATCTCGAATCAAGACTTCAGGCTGCCGTTTTCCTAGAGGCCAAAGTTATCATTTCACTCTGTTGTAGCTACAGTATTAAAAAATGATACCAAGATAAGCCATCGGAAAAGAGTAGTTCATAACTAAAAGAGAAGTCCAAGCCGAGTACAAAACCCCTATTGACCTCCTGCCTAATTCCTAGGCCAGCACGGGTCCAATTCTTCCACAGAGAGGTTTAACTTGAAGTTTGTGTTTCAGAAAAGTTTTGTTACAGCAACGTGGGTGCAGAGCTTCGAGCGATTGGACAATGATTATGTAACACGACCTCCTCCAACTTCAAAAATTTGCATTAAAATTCAACAAATGTAGAAGTGATGCATGCCCGTTCTGAGCAAAAGAGAGATTAACAGTTACAATAAAAGAGAAAGGGTGGGTAGATTATTCAATCCCATCTTTGTTAAAAGAAAAAAGTTTTGGAGTCAGATTAACAAGTAAGAAAGCCTAAGAACAAATGGATTTGTCAGTTAAAAATAGGAGAGGAGAGTTATTAAATGGAGAGTTAGAGGTATTGGGAAGATGGAGGGAATATTTGAGGAATTGTTAAATGTTGATGAAGATAGGGAAGCTGTGATTTCGTGTATAGGGCAAGGAGGAATAACATCTTGTAGGAGTGAGGAAGAGTCAGTTGTGAGTGTGGGGGAAGTTCGTGAGGCAGTAGGTAAAATGAAAGGGGGTAAGGCAGCCGGGATTGATGGGATAAAGATAGAAATGTTAAAGCAGGAGGGGATATAGTTTTGGAGTGGTTGGTGCAATTATTTAATAATGTATGGAAGAGGGTAAGGTACCTAGGGATTGGCAGAGAGCATGCATAGTTCCTTTGTATAAAGGCAAGGGGATAAAAGAGAGTGCAAAAATTATAGGGGGATAAGTCTGTTGAGTGTACCTGGTAAAGTGTATGGTAGAGTTATAATTGAAAGAATTAAGAGTAAGACGGAGAATAGGATAGCAGATGAACAAGGAGGCTTTAGGAAAGGTAGGGGGTGTGTGGACCAGGTGTTTACAGTGAAACATATAAGTGAACAGTATTTAGATAAGGCTAAAGAGGTCTTTGTGGCATTTATGGATTTGGAAAAGGCGTATGACAGGGTGGATAGGGGGGCAAAAGTGGCAGATGTTGCAAGTGTATGGTGTAGGAGGTAGGTTACTGAAAGCAGTGAAGAGTTTTTACGAGGATAGTGAGGCTCAAGTTAGAGTATGTAGGAAAGAGGGAAATTTTTTCCCAGTAAAAGTAGGCCTTAGACAAGGATGTGTGATGTCACCGTGGTTGTTTAATATATTTATAGATGGGGTTGTAAGAGAAGTAAATGCGAGGGTCTTGGCAAGAGGCGTGGAGTTAAAAGATAAAGAATCACACACAAAGTGGGAGTTGTCACAGCTGCTCTTTGCTGATGACACTGTGCTCTTGGGAGATTCTGAAGAGAAGTTGCAGAGATTGGTGGATGAATTTGGTAGGGTGTGCAAAAGAAGAAAATTAAAGGTGAATACAGGAAAGAGTAAGGTTATGAGGATAACAAAAAGATTAGGTGATGAAAGACTGAATATCAGATTGGAGGGAGAGAGTATGGAGGAGGTGAACGTATTCAGATATTTGGGAGTGGACGTGTCAGCGGATGGGTCTATGAAAGATGAGGTGAATCATAGAATTGATGAGGGAAAAAGAGTGAGTGGTGCACTTAGGAGTCTGTGGAGACAAAGAACTTTATCCTTGGAGGCAAAGAGGGGAATGTATGAGAGTATAGTTTTACCAACGCTCTTATATGGGTGTGAAGCGTGGGTGATGAATGTTGCAGCGAGGAGAAGGCTGGAGGCAGTGGAGATGTCATGTCTGAGGGCAATGTGTGGTGTGAATATAATGCAGAGAATTCGTAGTTTGGAAGTTAGGAGGAGGTGCGGGATTACCAAAACTGTTGTCCAGAGGGCTGAGGAAGGGTTGTTGAGGTGGTTCGGACATGTAGAGAGAATGGAGCGAAACAGAATGACTTCAAGAGTGTATCAGTCTGTAGTGGAAGGAAGGCGGGGTAGGGGTCGGCCTAGGAAGGGTTGGAGGGAGGGGTAAAGGAGGTTTTGTGTGCGAGGGGCTTGGACTTCCAGCAGGCATGCGTGAGCGTGTTTGATAGGAGTGAATGGGACAAATGGTTTTTAATACTTGACGTGCTGTTGAAGTGTGAGCAAAGTAACATTTATGAAGGGATTCAGGGAAACCGGCAGGCCGGACTCGAGTCCTGGAGATGGGAAGTACAGTGCCTGCACTCTGAAGGAGGGGTGTTAATGTTGCAGTTTAAAAACTGTAGTGTAAAGCACCCTTCTGGCAAGACAGTGATGGAGTGAATGATGGTGAAAGTTTTTCTTTTTCGGGCCACCCTGCCTTGGTGGGAATCGGCCAGTGTGATAATAAAAAATAATAATAATATTGTTATGTAATACAATGTTAATAAAAATAAATTGTTTAACTGTACTCAAAAATCAGAGGATCTCGCCTTCAAAGACCACAACAATGTATCTACCTCATCTACTAGGAAAATGATAGGATGGATAATGAGAACCTTCAAAACTAGGGATGCCAAGCCCATGATGATTCTCTTCAAATCGCTTGTGCTCCCTAGGCTGGAATACTGCTGTACACTAATGGCTCCCTTAAAGGCTGGCGACATTGCATACTTGGAGAGTGTACAAAGAACTTTCACGGCACACATAAGTACGATAAGGCAACTAAACTACTGGGAACAGTTGAAGGTCCTTGATCTGTATTCCCTCGAACACAAGCGAGAGAGATACATGATAATATACACTTGGAAGGTCCTGGAGGGATTGGTGCCAAACTCGCACAAGAAAATCACTCCCTATGACAGCAAAAGACTCGGCAGGAGATGCAACATTCCCCTGATGAAAAGCAGGGGCGCCACGACTACATTGAGAGACAACACAGTAAGTGTCAAGGGGCCAAAACTGCTCAATTGCCTCCCAGCATACATAAGGAGAATTACCAATAGACCCCTGGCTGTCTTCAAGAAGGCACTGGACAGGCACCTAAAGTCAGTACCTGACCAACCGGGCTGTGGTTCGTACGTCAGCTTGTGTGCGGCCAGCAGCAACAGCCTGGTTGATCAGACCCTGATCCACCATGAGGCCTGGTCTCAGACTGGGCCGCGGGGGCGTTGGCCCCAAAACCCTCTCCAGGTAAACTCCAGGCAGTCGTCTCCTCCCACTATATGTGTGGAAATTTTTTTTTAATTTAGAGAAAATTAATATTCTAATAATGAAAATGAGTTATACACCTGGAATTAATTTAACAGATGTATTTGTACACAAAAACATTTAGATTAATTCATGTTAAACGCCAAACCCATGTGGGTCACTCAGAGCAAGACGTTGTAAAGGCTTGATCCTCCGTCTGCTGAGCGCCAGACAGATGCACTTCCTACTTGTACTCGCCTACATGTCCAAAACAAAAACAAAAACAAAAATTAGAGAAATCAAAAAATGGCTGAACCTATAGATTAACTGGATTGTGTGGCAGAATTTGACTGTGGGTAATCGAGGCTGATGGAGGGTGTATCAGCAAGAACTGGGACCATGAAGGGATCAGATACATTGTAATCTGGTCATAATAAGCCTGATAATGAAGATACAATACAATTTTTATTCCCGTGCAAGTTTACATTGAGATTCTGTAATTACAATAATGAGTTGCATTGCAAAGAAAGCCACTATCATGCCATAGCATTATGGGCAGACTAAATTAATGGCTTACAGACTAATTAATACTAGAGAAATTAATCATAGTCTGTTTAAGTTGTACATCTGTTTTTATTTAAAGCAGACAGTAAGTTTACTGTCTGCTTTAAATAAAAATAGACAGTAAGTTACAATCTGGACATGGTGATGTTGACTACTGCAAATACTACAATAATTCATGTTCACCTCCTGGTGTGAATGTAAGTCTGACACAACAGGTAAGGTAGCTAGTTATAGGACAATACAGCAGACCCTCGAATTTCATCATCCCTTTTCTGTAAGTAAAACTATAGTTATTCTCTGTATTAGTGTACCTGCCTACAGGAAGGCATTAGCAGACATCACCAAGATAATACCTTGGTAAGTAAGTTATTTGTTCTTCACAATGTAATTGAACCACTGTGTTGTATAGTTAATGCATAAGAAATTACTTAAGCAAGTTTATTCAAGTATACACATATACAGTTACATACACAGATTATCATACATAACAGCATATGTGTAGAGAACCTAGGATAACCCAAAAGAGTCAGACAAGATGACTTATTTCCACTGGGGTCCTTCATTTGTCCTGTATTTGTGTATACCTGAATAAAGTTACTTACCGACATTAATTTTGAAGGTCCAGACGTGAGAGTTGGGGAGCCGAGGCAGTGGGCAATTAATTAAGGAGGGGTAATATAGCGACTTATTCTTCCTAAAGTCTCACATGTCTCCGAGGTACATCAATATCAGAGAATATAATTTATTTTTGATGCAGCAGAGTTCTCAGTTATGTGGATGAAAGGTTATACCTGGAGTATACCTGAAGAGAGTTCTGGGGGTCAACGCCCCCTCGGCCCGGTCTGTGACCAGGCCTCAGTGGATCAAGGTCTGATCAACCAGGTTCTTACTGCTGGCAGCATGTAATCCAACATATGAACCACAGCCTGGCTGGTCAGGCACTGTCGTTAGATGCCTGTCCAGTGCCTGTTTGAAGACAGCCAGGGGTCTATTGGTAATCCCCCTGATGTATGCTGGGAGACAGTTGAACAGTCTTGGGCCCCTGACACTTACATACTTATAACAATTCATCCACAATTTTTCACAGTACGAGTAGTGATATATCTTCCTCTTCTCTGCTTCTTAAGGTGTTTCAACAAGAGTAGTGATGTAAGAGCATATAGATACTTAAATAACCTACACAAATTTATGGCGACGTTACGGTCCTACTTGAACCATTAGTTAATGTGGCTAGTTAATGGTCCAAGTCGGACCGAAACGTCGCTATACATTTCTCCTATGTGTGGGTTATCTGTGTATTGTTCCAATCACCGTACTATACCTTTTTTATTCTTTCTATACTGGTACTCGCCTCTCCCACATACTCTTCTTCTGTTGGGTTTATGAGGGCCACTGACAGCATAAGATGTATCGAGGCCGGTTTCTCGATGGTACGAGCGCTAAACCCATAGGATTATACAGCGCATGTGGGGGGATGGAAGGTATTCAGGCTCAATTCAGGAACCGAAGCGCAGATCCTATACCCTAGATCAAGAGCCCCTCACCAACATCAAGGAACCTCCCTTGAGAAGATGGTACGAGGAAAAATTGTTGCCCAAGGCTGGGCGATGAGAGAAAAGGAACAAAAGTTCCTTTGTAAATAGAGATACAAACTTGAAGTTTCTAATTAGATCCGGTGGACGCCCTTGCCAAGCCCCAGCAGAGAGGGACGCCCACACTTCCACCTGAGTCCAGTAACCGGCTTCCCAACAAAGACCGTTAAAGAATTTTCCGCAGAACAGAAAAAAATAAAGCTGGTGCCCCTCCTGTAGAGTGCCCGGCGGGCAAAATAGATGAGAACAAGCGTCCCAGAGAGAACGGGGGAAATTTGTCACTGATACTTAGGCGAAAGAGAGAGACGTCCACACCCGACAAAGGCTGGCGCAGAAGTCCTTCTTCTTCTTCTTCTTGGGGTTGTAAAAGGTCTCTGATAGCTTGCGCCTTTTTGAGTCCTGCTTCCCTGTAGTCCGGGAACAATCTGATACTCTAATGGTTGAGGGAATTATAAAGGAAACAAGGTTTCCTCAGTGTAGAACACCTGGCCTTATTGGAAACAATAAGTACTCAAATAGATCAGGTGAACCCACTTGTTTGTTTGAGAGTTTGCCTAGCTACTTTTTAAAAAAAATAGACTTCAGTCTGTGAGCTCCCTCTAGTGTACTAAGCAAATTTCTTAAACTTGCTTGTAAGTTTATTCAGGTTAACACAAATACAGTTACATAGATTATCATACATAGCAGCACATGTGTAAAGAGCCTAGGATCTCTCACCTAGGATCTCTCACCCTAATCTTGCCACCCTCAACACCATTGTTAATGAGGAGCTGATCAAAATATCGACTTGGATGACAGCCGATAAACTTACGCTTAACACTGACAAAACCTACTACATTATGTTTGGTAGCAGAGCAGGAGATGCGCAAATTAACATTAAGCTCGACAACACTCTAATTGCCAGGCATAATGAGGGCAAATTCCTAGGCCTATACCTCGACAACAACCTGAACTTCAGCACCCATATCCAACACATAACCAAAAAAGTATCCAAAACGGTTGGGATCCTCTCCAAGATACGATACTACGTGCCGCAAACTGCCTTTCTCACACTATACCATTCACTTATATATCCATACCTCACCTATGCTATCTGTGCGTGGGGTTCAACTGCAGCAACACACCTAAAGCCAATAATAACCCAACAAAAAGCCGCAGTAAGAATAATCACTAAATCCCATCCCTGGCAACACCCCCCCCCCCACTCTTCATAGATCTAAACTTACTCCCTGTTCAGTACATCCACACTTACTACTGTGCAATCTACATCTACAGGACCTTAAATTCCAATATTAACCTTGACCTAAAACGCTTTCTTGATAGTTGTGACAGAACCCACAGGCATAACACCAGACACAAACATCTCTATGACATTCCCCGTGTCCGACTAAACCTTTACAAAAATTCAATGTATGTCAAAGGCCCTAAAATCTGGAACACCCTACCTGAAAATTCTAAAACTGCAGACACATTCATCACCTTCAAAACTACCATCAGAAAACATCTTATCTCCCTGATACACCCTGTCAACTAATTACACGAATACCACCTGGTGGTTAACACTTACACTCACTCGCCCATTTGACCATAAACAGAAATATCAATCTCAATCTCAAAATAATGAATCTTAACTAGTCATAAGTTGGCCTGTGATACTCCAATACTGAAACTATGTATAGTGCCAAAACAAAAGCATTCACATTGCTAAACTCACAAACTAGTATTTAGTCACTTAGCCATAATACCAACTTACCTCATAATTTTGTAATATTTTAAACTTAAGATTTAATTTAAGTCTGCCCAAAATGCCTAGCCATGCTAGGTGTTTTAGTGGTACACTCTGTAATTATTATTTTACTACATGTAAACCACACAATAACCAAATTCTGTAAACTCAGCATTGTAATCCTTATAGAGAATAAACTTTGAATTTGAATCTGAGTTGAAAGGAAAAGGTCAGACAGAGTGGCTTATTTCCATTGGGAAAGATAAGTGAATTGTAGATATGTAGTTATAAATCCAAATGTACACCTGTTAACCCTTTTAGGGCCTAATTACTAGGCCTTTTGTGTATCCAGATGCTCTTGTGCTACCGTCCACAGGATGGATATGGGGTGCCACTTCGGTGGCAAAATCTAATCTAATCCACTAGTCCCTATTTGTATGAGGTTCATTGGCTTCATATCAAGGCACGAAGTAGATTTAAACTCTGTTTATTTAAAGCTTTAAAGAACCCGAACATCTTACTGATATGTTTCTACCTTTTTACTTCGGGCTCGGGAATGTCTCTATGAAATGCTGCTGACCCTTTCAGACTGACTGAGCTACATGATGTTAGGGAGAAATCATTTTCAGAAACAGCCTTTTCTTATGTATCTCCTAGCTGATATAACACGTTACCAGTATCTGAAAAGTCAGGAACCCGTAGCTGGATAGCTAGCGCACTCAACTCACACTCTGAGGTCCGGAGTTTGAATCCCCGGTACGTGTTTCCATAAGACACCTGCTGTCTATGTTCACCCATCAGTATAAAATAGGTACCTGGATGTTAGTCGACTGGTGTGCGTCGCATCCTAGGGACAAAATTAATCTAATATGCACGAAACGTTCTGCATAACAAGCGGTTTTCTATATACATGTATAGCAGTATATCACTGATGTCAGTTAGGTCTGTATAACTTGTACATGTACTTGTAGAGATAAAGATATTAGTATTAGTATCATTATTATTTTAAGTCTCAGATGCAAGCACGTCTCATTGCTAGAGTTTTCGATTTAGTAACATTTAAATAAAAACTCAAGTATCTTTTTTTATTGTAATTGTTGGGCTATAATGAGCTCTAATGCAAATAAAGTCACATTATTTAAGAAAAGATAAGATTTTCTTGTTTTTTTTTTTTTTAACCCAGGAGGGTTAGCCAACCAGGATAACCCAAGAAAATCAGTGCGTCATCGAGGACTGTAACTTATTTCTATTGGGGTCCTAAACTTATTTCCATTTTACTTTATCATAGCTTAATTTCCCCATAATTTATTAGGTAAGACCATTGAAAAAGTGTTGACACATATATGAGGCCTAAGTAAAACTTACTTTTCAGTTTCTGGGGAAGAAAATGCCTAAACTTAGAAGGGAATTGGGAGGGAACAAAAGTTTCCTTCTCTTATCAATGGAGAAAGCCTAAACCTCAGCAGAGCCAAATTATTATAATCAAAAGAAGCGCTAAACCGCAAGTGTTATACAGCGCAGGCAGAGCCAAAGATCCACACTCCGGCTTTTACCAGGCCGTTGAAGTCCGCAGAGAGGGTGTATGGCGCCTGACCAACTGTTCAGCGGCCAGTACATGATGAGGACAAGAATCCTAGGGAGAGAATGATGTGCCCAGCGGAGAATTGGTTGCTAACGTTTAGCGTGTGGTAGAACAAGACATCTACACTCCACTGAGGCTACTGGTGAGGTTTAAAACGCTTGCCCATTTGCCTTGAGAGCAGACTTATGTTTAATTAAAACATCCAGCACATATCTAAGAAGTTATTAAAACAGTCGGCATTCTATTTCCTCAAGAGAGATTACTTAACGAAAAATTAGAGTTGAGATAAATTAGGTGGTTCAAGTGAAGAAAGTCTGTAAAGGTCACACTGACTTGTGTATGAGGAGGACAGAGAAAGAGTGCGGGAAGCTTGGAGTATAGTTCTCCAATAAATATAGAAGTGTGTGAGGGATAATAGTGTGGTTGCGAGCTCTCTATGTGAAAGGTTTGGGAAGTCTTTGAGGCTGTGGTGTGTCTCTGAGATTGTGGTGAAAGTGTCGAAGAGACTGCTGGAGAGGACTACTTGTAAGTTAGGGGCGGTGTAAGTGACAGATGTTGAAGAGGTGGGAACATCAGTGTTGAGCTGCCTAACAAAAATAAGTATGTGAGAAGGCACTACTGGACGTTGAAGGTGCTGGCAATTTCTGAGATGGTGCAAGGTATTCACCACTTCAGACACAGTTTGGGTTACTGTATGTTGTATGGCAAACCTTTTTCTTTCAAATGCCAGATTTCGTTTTCCCGAATGATAAAAGGGCACCAACAAAAATATGAAGGATGTACTTCTTTGCAGTAAATGCAAGAAGGGAGAACAGTCACAAGTGGGGTCATCATGATTTTTTCTTCACAGGCTGGACCTTCTTCCTGTGATGTGCAAAGTTTAGCCGGGTAGTCACAGTTCCAGCATTTGCAGCATTGCTACGGTTTTGGTTTGAATTACCTCACTGACAAGCGTTGACCTGCTATGTATACTGAGGAAGAAAATCCATTAATATCAAACGTTAGTTTAACTATAGTTCAACTGCCTCCCAGCATACATAAGGGAAATTACCAGTTGACCCCTAGCTGTCTTCTGACCCACCACGAGGCCTGGTCATGGACCGGGCCGCGGGGACGTTGACCCCCGGAACACCCTCCAGGTATTGGTTGGGAATCGTCTCTGTCCAAGAGATGGGTGGAAATAAGTCTCGATCACGGTGACTGGGAGTTTTCCTAATTCAGTTTGTTTTTGAATGTTCAAAATAGTCTACGAAGTCTTGCTATATCACCGTGTGTGAAAGGACAATAATACCACTGCTTGAATTGAGGGGTAATATTGGTGTACAGTCACTGTGGTATTGCCAATGGTGTGGATATCCATTAATTTATCGGCCAGGTCAGCGTCATTAGGTATCCCCTTTAAGAGGTTCCCTGATTTTTTTTTTTTATTATTTTCTTCCTTCAACTTTCATTTTTATTTCACTCAACTCGAGAATGTTATTATTATTATAATCAAGGGGAAGCGCTAAACCCGGAGGATTATACAGCGCCTGGGGGGGGATGTG